ATCGTTCAACGCGTCCGGCGTACGACGGGGGACGTAATCGTCGACAGAATGATGAAATTATGAGGGGGAAGACTTGATGAACACGTAGCAACGTCTGGTCGTCATACATATTCATAATCTTGACCTCGATGGGGTTCAAAGTATAGGGCTCATGCAGCAAACCGTGGCCCCCATGATCAACAATATGTTGCAAATGTAGTTTTCTGTACGTCTCAAAGAAATGAAAGACGGTGAACAAAAGCGGAATCAGTCGTCGACGCATTCGTTCACGTTGGGCGGCAAACTCTTGACGTTGGGCATCTGTTGTTCGCAGGAATATTTCCTTGGTGATCCATTCACACATTAGGAAGGACAACTTCGCAGCCACATGGAGACGGTGCCATAAACCGCACAGATGGTGGAAGTTGGCAGCGGATGGATCTCTCAAAGGATAAAGTCGCAGAGCGTATGCTGGAATGTGGTGATCCAGGTGATAACGAACTATAGGCGCCTCGTTAAAAGTTATAAGTGTATGCCATGCCTTCGATACCCGGCGTAGGTTGAGGACGTCCGTCAATGGTAATGACGATATGATTTGGATCTGAAGCTCGGTAGGCAAATCAAGGAATAGTTGATCGAACGGGAGCCTGTATATTGTCAGGAACAGTGAAAACGAGATATGAATTCAGGATTTAGTAAGGTGTGACAAACGTCTTTGGCCTCGAACCACCTCCGGCTTGCTCTGGCAGTTCGGCGTGTGTTGCCGAGGACTTGGAATGAAATATGGAACTCTTGGATCTTAGACCGAAAAGGCGACTCTTCTCGTGACGCTTCTGATCTGCGGGCCGAACGAGTTCGACATCGGCCTCGGTTGCTTTGGAGCTACGGAGGGGAAGGATAAAGGTGGACGGCGGCTGCGAAGTCGTATGATGAGAAGAGTTAGACTGTGGCGACGGGAGGTGAGGATCGCGAGACTGAGACGGTAAATGAGCTTCCTGAGCTGCCCTGAGTTGATCGAGTTTCGTGAAATAACGCTGGGAAGCGAACTCGGTGAGATGAGGCGGATCCATTTTCCTGCTACCGTACTGGACGATGATGCAGTAGGATGGAAGGGTTGAAGCCTAGAGAACCCAGCATAAGGGTGCCCGACTGATCGTCTCTAGTCGGTGCGGAGAGGGCCAAGCGAGGGAACAAAACTGTCGACAAAGCCAGACATTCGCGTCTCAAGCATGGCTGAGCATTTGGTAGTTGTTTTGGCAATAGAATCGAGGGACGTAGGGAACGAGTTTCGCGGAAGCGGATTGGTTAAACGTTGACGGCGGAAAGGTTGGGTCGATAGTTTGGTGAGGCACGGTAAGCTGTCGGCCTTTTTTCGACAAGTCTGGCGCGCACCAAGCGCGAAATCGTGGGATATCGATCAAAAAGGGAGCGCGCAGAGAGTTGAAGTTGAAGTCGGAAGCGGCGGCAATGTCGAAGAGGATCGTTGACCGATTTTCGGCTGACGTTTGGCCGCAAGGTGAGATGCGATGTTGGCTGGGGTTGGCGAAGGTGTCAGGGAAAAAAAGGATGAGCGAGTGGGCGGGAGCGGGAGAGAGAGCAATGCAGCCGGCCTGGAGGAACAGAGAGGGAAGAGGTGTGCAGGGTGTATGTGGGAGTGGGTGTGAGTATGTGCACTTGGCGAAGGTACCTTATCTGAGTCTAGGTGCTGTAGTCCCAGTCCCATCAGTTATGCTCTCCCTCCCGTCCCCTTCTCTCAATAGGTACTTTTAGGTTGGTATCTCAGCCTCTGTCCCGAATAGTGGTCGGCAGCACAAAGTACTGTAGTGTGATGTAAGGTTCCTCGGGCACAGGGGCGCTGTGTCCAGCACAGCAGCGCTTTGCATAGCGCCTTTTCCAGGTGCGTAGGCGCCTAAGGTAGTGTATTGAGGTACCTTGCCTTGCGAGTGGCAGTGGCACTGGACCGGATGAGACCGTCAACGAGCGCCTACAACGAGTCGCGAGAGAGGGATCGGCCGTTCGCTCATTCTGGGTGGCCCGGCGGTATGTGCGGCGAATTAGTGGAGAGGCCCAAGTGAGAGAGGGCACTTACTTGTTAAGGGGGCCGACCTAGACACAGTTTCGAAGCACTGTACGTATCCAGTGCGGAAAGTTGCTCGTACTTAGCCTGTTCCTTGCACAGTCAAGCTGATGGGTCGGCAGTCGGGGAAAAGGCTGGATGTAACGTGCACAATTCAGGCTGGCACGGTGAAAAGCGGGAAAGGAGAAAAAGCGGCCGAGTAAAACACCGTAAAAGTGACCGGACGGAGCGCTGCCGCCCCACAATTGCGTCGCCGTACATGCGCAGTTTAAAATTCGAGAAAGAATTTCTCTTTCTTGCCAGTGGCAGCCGCTTATGTGCATTAGCAAGACGCTCTTGCTTGTAGTAGGAAGTCGGTCGTCCCAATGCGACCACTTGACCTTGAGGTAAGGTAGACGATGATAGCGTTTGTTGCCGTACCAGTATAAGTCCAAGCACCGTCGCTTTCTTCAAGTCAGACTTTCAACTAAGGAGAGGAAGAAATCCTTACATGGCTTGAGCCTCATTCATTGCTTTGCTTGGTTGCGAGTGGTTGGACGAATCTGTACGTGTGGTTCTTGACACCCTAACCGAGAATCTATCGTGTGCGACTGAAAGTTCCAACTTGTGCCACTGGGTTTTGCCGTTTCGGCGCGATCACTCGGGACCATCACGGGGCAAAGAGCCTTGCATACTTGATCTGACCCAGAGTAGAACCCGGCGCAACATGGGAACTGTGTCCCCGACTGGTGGGTCGGCTTCCGTAGAGCATCTTCACTTTTGCCTCCCGGAGCATCAATACACTTGACCTACAGACTGACCGGGCGTGGCCGGCGCCGCCGATCTGGGCTCGGTGATTAGGTGGGCCTAACCATTCGTGTGGGGGCGGCTGGATTGCGGAGCTACGCCTCGGGATGGGCGCTGGAAGATGGCGAGAAGCAACGGCGAGACACACAACGAGAAATCGCACTTTGAGGTGTATCCAAGTTCCGCTCTGTGATTTACAGCCACAATGACAGTGATGATGTTTAATTGCATGTCGTAGATTGCTAACACTAGCACCCGATGGCTTGATGATGCGACTGTTGTACATACTTCAGGTAGGGAAAATCTGACCAACACATGGCCAGCTACCTATCATGGGGTAGGCACGTAGGTAAGGTACATATCGGTATGGCCAGCCAGCGAGTGGATAGAAAGGCAGGTATCTGTGGCCATGGACGGGCAGATTCGACCGAAGTCGCCGAAGTTGAAGCGATGAAACCGACTCGATCAGCTTAGCGCCGTCTCGGATAGGACAGGCAGCGTGGAGCTAGCGGGGTTGCGGACGTCGGGGCTGGGGACGGTGGATTCTGGACACTGGGGAAGGGGAGTCAGAATGGCGCGAGCTGTAAGGTTACCTTGAATCGTACCCACTGTCCTCTCTACTCGTATGGGTGCCTTAGCCTGCGAGCGCCCCTCGGGCCTACCGCGGCCTTTCTCTGCCACCTCCCTTCTAAGGCGTCTTCACATCCACCCAGCGTGTTTTCCGGGCTTGCGTTAGGTGAGTACACCTCGTGGCACTGCGCTGCGGGCGAGACACATTGGTCTCTGTAGATTTCCGGCTATCGGATACATACCTGTCCGTACGTACTTACCTAAGATACGGAGTCGGCGCGGATACGGATACCGTAATTAGACCCTTTCCTTGTGGTCGAGTTGTTACTGCTTATGAACGGAACATCTGAGCCTGTGTGTGCTTGATGAAGCAAGGAGGCCAGCTGTGCAGGCTTGATGTACAAATTCCTATCGTTCACCACCAACTTTCCACCAGATGTCACCTTCTTACGGGCACAGAAACACCTTTGATAGACACCATGTCAGAATCGGCCCATACGTGGATTAAACGCAGAGCTGTCCCGTGTAGCAGGAGAAATCCCCGTTCCTCTGCAGCCCTCGTTTTGCTTGTCCTCCGTTCGTCGGGCTTTCCACTTCTCCAGTCTAGGTACCTTACATCACGCTCCATACAAAGTGACAACACTAAGGCGGCAGTAAACCCGGATGTGATTCTCCAGTCAACTCCACATTGGGTACTCCGCGTTCTCTCCGCGCAGTAACCTGCAATTGCGGGCAGGATGTCTGTTGATACCCTTGAAGCCTAATAGCTCTCTCTCTGACTCTCAAGTCGTTGAAAAAGCACCCCACTGCCACTACCTACTTCCAGGACATTGTCCTCACGCCAAGGCGTTGGCACCCTACTCTTTCCGTCGCACGCCACGGCAGCGACCGTGAATGCCCAAGCATGCTCCCGTCTTTGCTCTGCCTGCTAATGGGGAGTTGAGACTTGGTAACTGGTTCTGGATCATCCATGCCAAGGTCATATGTAATGCCAACACGGGCAACGCGTTTGGGAATACTTGCCACATTATCTGTACCTGCCCCGGCATGATCAGCCTACGTTGGTCCCCAATGAACCAATCAGCCACACTTCGGGTTCCTACGCGAAATCCGTGGTCCCGCCTCAGCCGTGATCCAACATCCCTCAATGAGGTGGAGCCCGCGTTGCATCACTCTCTACTCGCCGGTCTCTGGTTCGGTATCTCTTCCTGCATCCCAAGTTTCCAGCCGTCTAACCAACACTGAAGGTGTTGAACTGCATTTTCGTCAGCGGCCTCATCCCCCTGCCCCCCTTTTGCATTCAACCCATCTCTTTCCCAACCACGTTTGGTGTCCCCTTTCCAGTAGGCCACTATTGCCGGCCGCTATCCGCCTGTAGTCCAACCTCGCACATCGGGACTTCGGTCAAGTTGTCGCCTTTGCCAGAGGTTTTGAAGACGACAGGCTAGTCTTCCGTGCATGAGTAGCCTTTGTTATTCGCGTCAGTGTCCCGGTCTTCAAGTATTCCGCGTTCGCCGCGCCCCGCACCGCGCCGTGTCAGGGTCAGATCTCGGCTCTTCCCCAGGTGGAAAGAAAAAGCCAAAACGCAATGGACGGGCCGAGTGTGACCCAGCCGTCCGCATCGCCGTCCTCGTCGGCGCCGACCCCCGATCTCCCTGCCGAACGGTACAGATCTGACCGCCCCTTGCATGAACCTCCATCTGATCCTGGCACTTCAGACCTGCCTGCTCTAGCTCGTTTCGAGTTTCAGGCGGGCAGGGGCAATGATGGCACAAAGATACTCATGGTGGAATGGAATGCCTCCTCAGGCCCGCAGTCATTGCTGTCTGCTTCGGGGACCTGGCAAGTTTCGTGGGAAGGCAAAACAAGTCATGTGCCGGTCGAAGACGAGGAGACGGGGAAGAAGAAGCGTATTTATTTCCTGCTGCCGCCAGGGGCAGCCGTCCCCTCGGTCATTACCATCGCGCACCCAGATGGAACTGCTTTCACCACCAAGTCACTGCCGGCTCTCTTCCCTCCAGGCCTAGGTGCTGGAAACTCAGTGATTGGGGCAAGAGGCATATTGCATACTATCTGGGCCAAGAAGAGACTTGCCGAGCTGGAGGACGAAATTGTTTCTGAAATGAAGACAAATTCAGAAGGCATTGGGCTAGAGATAGCCTACCAAGAGCGCCAGTGGATCGTTGAACAATTTGGTGTGAACCTCAAAGTCAACATGGGTGTCAGTGGCAGTACCCCGGCGGTTGCACCTGCACCCCGGGCTCCGTCTAGTTCTATGTCGCCAAAGTCACCTATTGGAGGGAAGGTCGGTCAGAAGCTCAAGGGACTAAAGCTGGCAACATCGGCGGCGGACCTGGTGGTTGGCCGAGCTGGTAAGATTCCCGCCGGCACCTTGTAGTTGCGCCGTTGAACCAAACCTAACCTGAGCTTGCTAGGGGAAAACACCTGCCTTCAACCCATATCCTTCTCGCCCGCTTCGAATGACGTAGCAGTTTCCTCCTTTCCGACCTTTGCACGGCAGGGCCATTCCAAGGTTCGTGGCGATGCTGCCGCCTCGCTGGATGCTGTACTGGTTAACAACGAAGCCTACGTGGAGGGGAACGAGTACGACCAAGAAGAAGATCTCTTTGCACTTCCTATGAGCCCCCGCAGCCCCGACATGGGACGAAGTCCATTCAGCCTCGAGTAGCTTTAGGCATATGTTACTATTCATTACATGCCTACTCGTCTGGGACATCACTGGATCACGCATGACATGGGGTGTGTTCCTGGCGTGTATGTTTCCTATATAGTCGCAGATGTACTGGGCAAGTATGTCAAGGTTCGGACAGTGTCATTGACCAAGTAGGAGCTTCCGACCGTTCCCACTCACTCGTTCGGTGTTATGTAGCGTCCCGCGCTGAGTGGATCATTGCTGTCCTTTTGGATATTCGTCTACTCGAGAGTAGTCGGCTTACTTGAAAGCCCTCCCAACGCATGCTTCCGTGAGTATGACCCAGTAGCAGCTTGCCAAATTCCTTTGCCACTCTAAATGAAGATATTCGACAGGCAGTAAACCTCCCACCGGGCTGGAAATATGATTACCTCCAGCCTCCAACACGACCTTCATCCCACCGTTCTTTTCTCTCTTGCCGCAGGTAATGGAGCACTTTGGCATCTCTATACCTTTTGATCCAATCTAGCGTTTCCCTTTCCGACGCGAACGCACCATCCCCTTCTCCGTCGATGAAGCTTTCCTCAAGAACATGGCAAATAGAAGATTGTTCGTGCACCCCTTGACCCAATCTTTGGTACAGGGAAGCTGGCGAGAAAGGTGACAGAGCATGGTCCATATCGGACTGCTTTTGTCGCCACTGCCGTTCCAACGCATGCGTAGAGAGAAGTTGAGCCTGGGTCGTTGATCGCTGGTGTGCTAGTCTAGTCTCAAGTTCGATCAGGCGCGACGCTAGGTCAAGATTCTCAGTCAGGGCTCCTTGAAGAGCTTGATGAGAAGCAGCGAGCGAAGGATGAATTGTGCTCGGTGCATGAGTAAGAGCGCTCAGAAGTTGAGGGTTCGTCACAATGTCGGCCAGATCCTGTTTCCTGCAGCTACTATTAGTTGTGGATGAGGCTGTACCTTCACCGATCGTGTCATACGACTTATCTTGCACCGCTGTTGGGAGCCATTGATCACCTGGATCTGGAACGGGTTCTGGTCTCGCGAACTCGAGCCCGGCTTGCTGATGCGCAAAAGATCCACGATTGCTGCCCGCCCCTTCAGAATTGATGCCCGAGCCGGCGCCGGGTCGAGGTGAGTTAGAAGTGACGGGCGTGCCGATACGGCTGGTGTCGTGGCTGCCTGGTTTGGGCGGGAGCGACGGAGGTGGAAGAGCGTGCATGGTTTGATGGAATCTCGACGTGTCCGGCTGTGGACGTGAGAGTAGGGGAAGAATCTATAAGACGACCAGAGCTAGATAACCTCGCAACTGGCGGCTGGGTTCCTGCCTTGGCAGGGTTGCAGAAATCAATATGATGCTCAACTTGGTCAACCGACGTCAGCGCGATTGAGTCGGCTACTCGATGCTTCGATGTCCGTGCTGTCCGCCCGGGGGTGACGGCCACGCCCGATCGATAAGATAGGACAGCTTTACATAAGCCTGTCATACGTACTCGAATTTCGTTCATCCGAACGTGGACATGAAGTTCCACGTGCCAGCAAGTAGACAGATTTTACGTGTCTTACTTCGTACATTAAGCTTTCTTGATGGTATTTCACATGCTCTTCCCGCAACCCAGACTCCCTAGCCCATGTGCCCCGCTAATCAAGCGACCGGTTTCTTTCCTTTTCCTTTACCAATGTATACGTTATACAGCTGCGGGTGGACACGAGCGCTTGTCTTCCTTACGTCTCGCCATCAAGGCCTGACTGACCATAGATCCCGCGACCAGCCCATTTCCCGCAATTTTTTACTGCTTGAACCGGCTGCTTTCTTCTCACCTGAAGCTATTGCAAGCGCCTTGCTGCAGGCCGCAAAAGCCTCCACCAACTCCTTCATCCTATTGGCCTTGATGAGGCATGGAGCAAGGTCTGATTCCTTCTCAGCAATGGTAGCCGCAAGTTCCATACACTCCAAGAAGTTGTCCCTGGTCAAGGTTGTGCCAGCAAAGTGCAGTGTGCTAACGTAGGCAAGAAGAGTCTCAGGCAAATACAGGTCCCGTAGAAGCTCCAAGTCTGGGTCGTCTGAAAACCAAATAAGCTTACGTGGCCAGCAAGGAAGTTAGGCTTTTTCAACTTACCCTGGCCCAAAAGCCAGTTCTTCAGCAGTGGCTGCACGTGATCCTTTGCGGATTTGACTTCGTTGCTTACCTTGGCCCAGAAATCTCTCTTTACAGACGGGTCCCTGGGAATTGTGAGTGATGCGAGACAATACGTGGGTAGGAAACCATACTCTTTAGAAAGCTCCGCAAGCGATGCGATAGTTTCCATCGTGTCCAAAGCCTTGACAAGACATTCGAGGTCGCGTAAAGTTCGTGCGTTTGAGGCAAGCTGGCCCGCCGACAATCGGGCTGCATCCGCCGATCCGATATGGCTAGTCCAGAACTCTACACCCTCGGACAAGGCATCGATCTCATCCTGGTCGGAGGTATCGATCTTCTGTCGCATGATGACACTGAATGGCACGCGGTTCGCAAAGCTCCTTGCGGCATTTAGACGCATATGTTCTGGCCCGGTTAGTCAATCTATGCACTTTCAAGGCTCGAAACACGTACTGAGGAAATACTTGTAGACCGACACGCCGACCACGAAGACGTCCGGCCAGGCTTCCTCAACAAGCAAGAGCCATTCAACGGAGCGAATGAGGCGATCGTCGGATGGGTCAATAGACTCCGGATCTTCCCCAAAAAAGTCCGCTTTGATAGAGCGTCCATATTTCAGAGATGCCGGTTCGTTCTCCATGATACGAAATTGACCTTTGTCCAGATTACCATCCGAGGTCTCGTCCTCCAAGTTCTTGAATAAGAGTTCTGGCTGCATTCTGACAAACTTGAGTACATCTAGCCCCGCTTTCCGGATCAGACTGAGCTGGACGAGACGAGAATCGTGGTCAGTGATTGGCAATATGTTCGTGCTCAAGACGTGGAATGACCTGGGTTCAGCGATCCTGGAGCAGTAGAGAGGGATCAGCTCGTCGAAACCCGCTAATCGCAGCAAGCTGACATAAGCTGTGATCGTATTTTCCTGCAGCTCGCGGCGGTCATAGTCGGCGCTGAATGTGGCGGAAGCCGACGGTGTTCCTAGGGAGTCTAGGGTCGAGAAAATGATGAGGGCATGCACAGCCAACCGCAGGCGATCGGGGGTACGGATATCGGCAAACTTCTCCTGAGCCACACGGATGTTGCGACAGTCGTCATCGGGCATTAAAACCGATGGCTCTTCCGAATTGGCCTTTTGGGTGACAGCAATGCCTTGCTCGTAGAAATATTGCTCGAGGTCTCTCGAGATGATGGCAGCTTGAAGAGCCTTGGCCGGCTCGAAGGCTTCTTTGCTCGTATGAGGGCTGGTTTCCAAGGATTTTACCAGACGCTGTTCCAGCGTCGTTGCGTCGCCGTGAAACTGAATGGCGTCGAACGCGGCGAACGACGAACGAAGGGAAGCTGATACTTCCGGCGGACAACGACTCAGTACGAATGTATCGAACTGGGTGCGGAGGAGGGCGTTATAGTGCATGAACAGGAAATCGTCCCACGTTTTGCATACTTTCTGTACGCTGGGGATGTCTCCTGATAGCACTCCGTAGACGGCTCTCTCGATGTCATCAGAACCACCTTGACGAGCAAGAGCAAAGCACATGCGTCTCCAGAGGGCGAGAGCGGATGGGTCATCCACGAACTTTGACTCACCGTGCTCAGTCGCAAGAGGCAGCGGGGACATTGAAACTGCCCTCCAAACCTCGGTCCTCTCCAAACACCATTCTCTCATGGCTTGAAGACTGCTGCCCCTCCGAAGCAGCTGGAAGCAGCCAACCCATATCGCTCTCTCGAAAAATTCGTCCTGCGGCTCCAGCTTTCGTTCCTGTCTCGTCACGGCATCAGGATCAAGCTCGGCGACGAGTGGAGCGTTGTCAGAGTTGAGCAGTGTGCGCGCAACTTCGGGAAACTCAACGTCCAGGGGACGGGTAGATCCCCTGACGCCCTTTTGCAATTTGATCGCAGATCTCGTGTGAATCCATCCATGGGCAATAATGTCGCCTCTGTCAGCATTCTGCTGCAGCTCCCGAACCAGGTCATCAATGCCAGGCCCGTTTCTTGCGCCTTGTTGCAGCCATTCCAACACGGTTTTCCTCTCGATCGCCAGTGGGTCGTCGAGCAAGAATTCGCTCCACAGATCATCGGGTTGCTGAGTCCTCTGCATGATGCCAAATGCCTGCTTGCTGTTCGAGCTATTCGAGGGATATCTCAAAGGTATCAGACGGCGAAGGAGATCCCAGGTTTGCCTCTCTTGCTCCCAAGCCCGGATATCCTCTAAGCTTGGCGTCGGTTCGGATTCTTCATCCTCGTCGAGATCCATCTCGGTGTCGCCAACCGAGCCTTGACGCGCCTGGTTGCGCAGGTGCGCCAACTTCTCACCCGTGAAGTCATAGTAGGCGTTTACAAGCCCGAATATCCGCTCGCGCTTGGCCTCGACTGATCCATGAGGTGAAAGGCAATCATCGAGCGCATTTGCGAAGACCTCAAACTCGGGTCCGATCTGCATATCCATGGTCGATTGGTAAGACGTGATGGACTCGTGGTATTTCCGCAAACTCAACGTAGGTGTGACTCGTAGAAACTCGTCGTAAAAATTATGCGGACGGTTCTTCGCGTGGTGGGCGGCACATTGAATGATCGGCTTCCGCTGCAATCCTGTAATATTAAATAATTAGCTACAGAACAAGGTTGAGAGAGGGGATGGGAAATCAAAGCTGGAGATGCAACTCAGCGCGCGCAGAGTCACAGCTACACACCTCCTGCGAATAGATACTGCCTTTCGGTATCGCTTCGTACAGGCCAAGATGTCGGGTCGGCGCAGCTGAATGTTTGGGTTTGACCGAGCTCCCAAAGCTGGAAAATTTGGCGAAAGCAATCGGTCTTCTGTACTCCGCTCAAGCGCAAATTGTGCTGCTGTGGCCTACCCCAATGACTGGGTGTCAGTCTTTAGAGAACTCGGTA